GCGTCGGGGGCCGTATTGATCTCGGGGCCAGGAGGCTGCGCTGGGGCCGCGCAGACGCCACCACCGACGCCGACGCCGACGCCGCCCGGCTCGCTCGCGGCCCGGGACGCGCGCGTTCGCCCTTCGGCGCGACGCGGATCCGCGCGAGAATTCGGAGCCGCCAGCCAGCGCTCGCACGTGGTTGCTGGGTGTGAGTGTGGATCGAGCGTCACAGACACGGAGACAAAAACATCACCAGCTCTTCTTACTAAGTACCTTCGTAAGGAAGAGAAAGTAATAAACTGACTGGAAAATAGGAGGCTGTAGAAAAACTGACTGGAAAATAAAGTAATAAACAAAATGGAAAATAGGAGACTATATGTAAAATATGTTACAGTAAATAAAAGAACGTAAACAACAATCAGAAAATGTTTTACTCAACATAACCGGTAAACTAATTCAATTTCTTATCAGAATTAATTAGTTTTATCACAAATAAAAGTGAAGAGCTCATAAATAAAAAAGCACGTAAACAACATTCAGAAAATGTTTTACTCAACATAACCGGTAAACTTATTCGATATCTTATCAGAATTAATTAGTTCTATCGCAAATAAGAGGAGTGAATAGCTCGTAAATAAAAAAGTACGTAAACAACATTCAGAAAATGTTTTACTCAACATAACCGTTTTACTAATTCAATTACATAGCAGAATTAATTCTATCGCAAATAGGAAGAGTGAAGAGCTCGTAAATAAAAAAAGCACGTAAACAACATTTAGAAAATGTTTTACTCAGCAAAACCGTTTTACCAATTCAATTTCTTATCAGAATTAATTAGTACTATCACAAATAGGAGGAGTAAAGAGATCGTATTTCGATGAAAATACGGCCTGCGTAGAGTGGGCGTCAACACGACCAGATAATAATCATTTCCTTCTCGGTCTCTCTGTACATTGTGACATAATAGTGTATTTGAAATACTGTGAATTTTGGAAACAATTTTGTATCAGGGCAATCTCCCGTACCTCTTGGTGCTTTCAAAAGGCGATGTTGTTGAAAAGCACATGCTTTCTAAGATTCCAGGTGAGGATATCCCAGCGGGAGGAATCGCGTTTTGTAAGTTCGGCGTAATTCTTCAGAACGAAGATTTCCATGAACCGTGTTTTCGCATCGTGGTTTCCCCAACTTAAAACTGGCCGTCTCAAATTCTTTGAACTCATTCATTGTATGTATTGTTCATTCATGTATGTATGTGAACGGTTGAATTGCGTCAAGGCATAACATTTTACCTCATTTAAAAATGGGAATTGATCACAAAATGATGTCCTCAAATTCAAATGATCCTGGAAATTGTTGTTTCGTGACACTTGCATCGAAAACTAGCACGCAATAGCAATTTACAAGTCTTTTCGTACTCAGAAGTGTTGAAAGATCAATTGTAGCACAGACTCTGTCATTGTGACAGCAGACCTAGGATCATGAAGTACTGTAATCACTTCATTAATGTGATCTCTGGATCACTTTATTAATATGATGAATTTTTGGTTCTAAAATTAGGTTTTAGATTTCTTTTTAACTGCGGACTCATGATTCACACTCAGGATTAAGGTAGTACTACTCACAAGCTGTTTAAGATTGGTCCTGGTGATGACAATATACTACGTGTACTTTCGATCTGAAAATCGAGGTGTCTGTGTGAGTGGATGACAAATTGTGTCACCCATAATAGTCGGATTTAGAATAATTAGATTTGAAACTTGGAAAACACGCCAGGAGTTAAATCTAGCGCATTTACGCTCTCATTAAAATAAGGTACATGACAAGAAACCCGTGCAACATTTTCAAAATGTTTCAAAAAATTGAAAATATTCTCTTGATTAGTTTGACAATGGGACAAATGTGTTCAAAAAGTAATTTTTCAGAAACCAATCTCGAAGGTAATTCGGAGTTAATCCAGTTCAGTTACCTCGTCACGTCAAAGAAAACACGTTTGCCGCGTAAATAATCATAGAAGATAATCTTTAAACCGAAGCAACGTTAAACAATGAACTTTTCTCGAACATTTACTGCAAACCAGAACCTTCTAGATGGATTTGTTTAAAAATATAAGAGAAATGAAAGTGTTGTACCCCAAACTATTGCCATTTTGACATATTCTGATGAAGGAAGAAAATAACAAAACTTTTGTTAAAATAGCGTGTTTCATAATGACGTCATTTTATGCACGAAATTCTAAATATTTATAAAACGTTAAAATGCCAAAATTGTCAAAATTTCAAGGTTTTTGATTTATGACTCCCTTTAAGTAATTGATATTTAAAAAATGGCGACTTTTATGAAGCTCGCTTCAAAAATTTAAAAAATTAGTCG